TATATATATAACAGAACATTTTGTTAGTCAAATTATTACAATTACAAATTATAACAAGTTTAATTTAGTTTACTTACTACAACATGAAGACAAATTTGAAAGACTTTACTGTTCTTCGGTTGTCCATCGAAATTTGATGATGACGTCCACGCTTTTAACTGTGAGATCTTTGATGGCTAAGCAGTGCTATCCTGGACCCACAAGCTCTATTGCAGGTATTGTGATGGTGGTGGTGGTAGCGGTGACAGCCATGGCTGTATTTCTCCTGGTTCACTTCTGCTGTCTCCTGGTTGTCCTCTCCATCTCCAGCATTAGAACACAATCTCTACATAGTTGCCGCAGATGGTACGGTAAGCAGCAACATCCTCCTGGTCATCGGGTCTGATCTTATACTTCTTCAGGGCGTTCTTCATCTGATCCTTGTAAAATAAAATAAAATGAAAATAAAAAGAAATAAAATCCACAATATTTTTTGTAGGCAGTAAAGCTGTGAAACTAAAATTTGTATAACATTTTTTATTACATTGGGGATTTTGTATTTTTGTTTATTCGAAACAATTTAAAAAAATGTATAAAAAAAGATTTTTTTTATTCGAATATGCCACTAGGTGGCTTATTCGTAATATTCGTCAGTTAGGTTTAAACAATATGACCATGCGAAGGGATAATAGAGTTATTAAGAACTTTGACACTCTTTGTTAGTTGCACATATCAGTGTCCACCAAAGGAATCTCACAGATGATAAAACACAGGACGGTCTGTTGGACATTCAGCATGTCAGCAACATCCTTAATCTACTGGAACGACATTCTTGAGTTTTATCATGGGACCTAGTGGCAACAAAGCAAGTATATTACGGTAAATGAACACTCAGCAATCATGCCATTTCAATAAATAATGGATAACATCTTTTAAGAAAATGAGGTCATATGACAAAAGGGTCAGTTTGATTTATAGTGCATATGCAAATACAATCAGTTCTCCTCAAGTTCACACTGGTGTCCTAGATAGAGCAACCACCAGTGTAGATCATCACATTAATTATTAACATGTTCCACTAACATTTGACAGCCACAAGGTATCTGAAAACCTTTTGTCTTCATTTTGACCATAATTTCTTTAAAATAATTTCCACTTGCTTTGGCATTTAGCTATCTAATGCGATGAGTCTGTGAGTCATATTTATGTATGGAAGGAACTTGGATTTCCAGATCATTTAATTTAACGCTCACTTTCAAGTTCATTAACACCTCACAATCTTCCTTTTTACCCGGATTGTTGCCTCCTTCCCAGCATCCCTCCCACGTATCCTAAATTGCATCATGGCTGAACCGTGGTCCAGTGTTTGTCCAGCCCACCGCATTCCAAATGACTGACAGCACTCCACTACACCATCAGCTACAGTGCTATTTTAGTAAAGATAAGACCAAGCTTGGACCTAGTTTGATATATTTGGTCTTGCCCTCTGCTATATTTAACTTCCCATGCAAATAGGACTAGTAAAGTTTTGCTTGACAACGTTATCAGGTCAAAACAAGAAGGAAATATCTTGTCACCGCTCCCATTATCTCTTCAGACAGCTATTCAGTGTTCTGAGTGTTGCTATGCAGTTCCAAGAGTGTTTTCGATGGTTGCTAGGACATTACTAGGTGGCTGCTAAGGTATTCTTGGGGTTGCTAGGATTTTGCTTGCTATGTCAAGTCAGAAGAGTTCACCACATGTTTCTATGGCATTTTCTGGTCCCACACTCCTAAAAAGGTCATTTCTTGGCATCTGTGGTTCCATGAAGAACCTTTAACATCCATGGAACATTTCCAGTCCACAAAAGGTTCTTTGAAGTGGAAAAAAAGTTCTTTAGATGTTTAAAATGTTCTTCACACTAAAGGTTCTTTTAAGAACTATATAACAAAATGTTATTTTTGGAGCCCAAAATAGTTATTTTTTGACATACTGCTTTTGGAACCTTTATATTTAAGAGTGTATGTATTACTCAGTGTAAGTTATAACACACTTCTCTTCAAGCCACACAATTGAAAGTAGAATCCACAAATGGTGAAGGAACAGGTTAAGAGGTGAAGGTCAAGGGCTTAAGTTTAAGTATGAGCAATAATAATAGTGATGTTCGCTTTAGCAAACACAACAAAAGAAGGGTAAGGTATACATCCTATATCTCTCTGTTACCTTGTTTTAGCTTAGTATAATGAATTCCAGTGGATTTCCATTTTCACACAGACTACCACAGTAATGTGGGAAATATTCTGCCCTGAAGCTGGAACAAGCGCGTTACTTATTGGCCTTTAATGGGGAAAAGTGTTGTTGCTCTTGAAGTCTTTGGTGTCTGAGGTGTTTTGGAAAATATCACCATAGATTATCGAGATCACACAAAATTCTTTTACATAATAATACAGTTTGATTTAGTTCGAAACTGTTTATTAGAATAACATTCGTATTCATTTCACCTCTTAGATAACATCTCAAAAGATATTCCTTTCTCACTAGTTTTAATTTCCCCCAATAATTAGCAGTTTTTTTCAAGTGCAGTTTTTGCAGGCAATCTTAACTTCATTAGTATGGTGAATATTGTGAAATTCTGTGGTAGTATATATCATTCTAAACTGAAAAGGGTCTACTTTTATTTGTATACCATCACAATAACAACAAAATGTTGTGCTTTTATAAATGCTTTCCCATATCTTTTGTTGTTGATGTCAAAAGCTGTGCGTCCAGTCAAACTCTATAGTATTTTTACAGATGCCAACAAGCACAGGTTGTGTTACATACTCTTATGCTTGAAAACGGTGAATGGGAACAGTGAACTAATGACATAAAACTATTAAAATGCATACATTTATAAGAAGGAAACAAAACGTGTCAATCATCCTGTCATTTGAATAATTTTGTATATTGATGGGCAGATCATGCTAATGTTAATAAACAGGTTTAATTTAATTTTAAAAAGTTTGATTTAATTTAATTTCATGATTTTATTTTAAAAATATGTATAGAATATAATTATTTATTTATTTATTTTTTCATTTTTGTGTATTAAACAGTTGTGGTACTGTGTTGGGTCACCAACACTTGATGTCCAAAGTAAAGTCCTAAAGCAAAACCAGAACAACGGGCCTTTACTTAAAGATGGGATAAACTATAAGATAAAATTATATCTGTCTTTCTACAGTAAAAGAGGGGAAAAATAGACAGAAATTAGTAATTTCTCCCACTGTCTTGCACCATGTCATTCCACTGAATGAAGACATAATAATGTAGCTTTAGTTCCTTTTTTTTGTTTTATTAATATATGTCACATTAGCCCTTCCAGACACAGATTCTGTCCCAACATGCATCCATTAGCCGTCCTTTCAGCTTCATTAAACTGTCTTTGCTACTTTGCTAATTTACTGACAGATATCAATGACTGTCTGTAGGGCTTGGGCTCCCTGTGGAGGCTACTGTTGGCCAAACAACAAGAGAAAATGGAAAAAATGAAGCAGTTCTAGCCAGGGTAATAGATACATTGACATTTTACAAGGTTGTTTTTTTGATGATTATATCTCAGGGACAGTAGGGGGAAATTCAATAAATCTGAGACCGTTCTTTATTTTCTGTGCGCTGAATCACTCATTACTCTTTTGCCAAGTCAATAACCAGCAGCTACATTATAGCCTTGTGTAATTAGTCTTATCATTAATAATTTTTTTAATGAACAGATTTGAAGGATTTTATAAAGCAACATGCTGGTGAAACCCTAATCAATCACAGCTCCATTGTTATTCAGTGAATGTATGAGGTATGACTACCTTTCAAATCCACCCAAATACCCAAAAGCACTGGCTGTGCCATTCAATCCTGGAAAGCCACCGAATCGCATTAACACGAGCCAGAGTTGTGAGGAGTGATCTGCATATTTGCTTGTTGTGTTGTCAACTCAAGCTGGAGCTGCTGGCTATATCTGCCCCACAGCACTGCCTTTTTTGGGGTGGAATGTGTCAGGCCCCTCGGCAGCCACGACCCCCTAGATACCTGTGAAAGCCATGGATATAAAGCGCAAAATGATGCATTATGGGCCATGGTCTCTCTCTCTCTTTAGATTTAGGGAAAATATGAAAGCTGATCAGAGTTTGTTTTTCTGACAGATCTTCATTTTTTATGTGTGGTTCTGAATATCAGACATGCTGTAATCATATATTGGAAATTGTCCCCCTTTGATCCTATGAATTGTTATCAGGTCTAAATTAAATGCATTATATTGTATTATATTGGTCATTTTTGACCCCTTAGAAGAAAATATGATTTAATTGGTTTTATTCAAGTCAAAAATACGTATTATAATGACATTGGACTACATTAGTTTAGACTATTCAAAATAATTAAGGGTTCAGGGCAGGTAGGAATAGCAACAAATGTCCCAAAAAATTTTTATTTATTTTATTTTATTTTATTTTATTTTATTTTATTTTATTTTATTTTATTTTATTTTATTTATAGTTTAGTTTAGTTTATTTTCCTACACTACAGATAATGATTTGGTAAGTAAGTTATGCCAGCTTATTGTTTTTACTTTAACTCATCAAAATAAGTTGAGCAATTTTATTTTATTTTATTTTTATACGGTATATTCATACACTAAGGCCTGGTTTCACAGACATGGCTTATGTTAAACCAGGATTAGGCTACTACGGTGGCCGAGAAGTGCAAAACAAATCACAATTCTGAAAACAAAATAACAAATTACAAACGCAAATGCAAGTC